TCATTTGTCGCCTACGCGCGAGTCAATCCGGCATTATCAACCACCAATCCACTCGAGGCGGCAGCTGTTGCCGGCTTGCCCAAGTTGAGCAACTCGTGATACATTAAGACCTTGAAAAGCGGGGTATAAGGAAACTTGCATGGATCCTCCATGTCCTTGCGTATAATACTTTGGCTGTTGGGCATGGTTTTGAGCCGTAGCCTTTGTCGTGTAACTCGACACCTTAACTAGGCTAGGTATGGGGGTCTCTCTTCCTCTCTCGCCCAGATCCACGAAATTTATGATAATTTGGGAACTCGGGTATTCAGATGAGCCGCTCCTGTGCAAGAATTAAATTGTAAGAGTTCCTCTGGGTTGATAATTCTAGGCTTCTGGAGCTTAGCTATCACCCGAGCCAACTGGTAATAGAGGGGACGAACCACCCAACCCAATCCCTCCAATAGTACTACTTTGACCTCGTATGTTAGCTGTGCGCAAGCCTGTTCTATCATGTTTTGACCCATGGCGTGAATTGGCATTGATTATCCTAGAGACTCACTTCACGAGCAGATGCCGATTGGCAGCAAAATTCACGGAATATGCTCATCGAGGGTTTTTTCTTGCGCTATTACAGATCTCACTCATGCGTCTCGTTGCTGCTATTGGGCAGCGTTGTTCTTGACGGCGCTTACACAAATCGAAAGCAGTTAGCCATCAGATTGGCCCCGTTCGTTTCTTTCGGGCACCGGCTACTTTGCCGCTAGGAAGAAAGCCAAGCCTGCCGCTTCCGCTTGGCAGCACCATACACATTGTGGATGTGTTTGGTTCCACAGTGATAGTGACAGCGATCAAACAAAGCCTGGGGCAAGTTTGTGCAGACGAAACATCCCATAGGCTCCGATGTACGTTGGCTTGACATCGTTTCTGAAGGCAATGTTTCGTGATTGGCGAATAGTGCGGGTTGCGTGCAACATGTTAATGCTTCAACAAAATCGAGTCAGATCTGTACTTGGTGGTGGAGCTAATCTGATCATTCGTCTGCGCGCAGACATGGGCGGCAAGAGATTACATTCCTGTGTATTATTATCCGCTGTCGTACTGTATAATACAGTTGTAATCGTATTTCAACGCTACCCACAATACAAACACTGGTACAAGCCACATATGGATAATCACGTGATGATGAAATCCATCGGTTCTCGGTGTCGTCACATGTCATTGAATCGTCGTGATTCTTCATCAGCCGGTTTCTTCATTCCTTCAGTTAAGCCTTTCTCTGGTAGAGTTAGCACTTTCACCCCCTGCGGAAAACTCATAATATTTGTACTCACATGTCAGTGATTGAAGAAGAAATCGGATTCCAAAGAAGCTGTCCTTACATTTCCGAACCACTGGCACAGAGCGTTATCGAGGGTTGACAAATGCAATTTCTGGAAGGCCAATAAAACGGGATATTTGAACCCAAGTTCAACCGGACTGCGAGTGATCTTACACCATACTCCATATACGGACATAATGGCTGTTCAGTCGACGTTGCGGCCCCCCGAGGACCCCTTGCTTCTTCTTTTCACCCACTCTTCGAAACTGTTGCAAGATCGATTCCGCAAATCCTCCAGAGCTGCCAAGCTAATCGCAACTACGACCCTCCTTCTATCGATAATCGGAAGCGGATATGGGGGATATCGCTGGTGGCATGAATGGGCGAAGGAGCGGGCTGAGGGGAAACGATTGTTGAGGAAGAACTCCGGTCTTCGTGGCAAGGATGGGACACGGATAATATACGTTCCCTATAAATCGTCCGTATCGTCTTCAATTACCTCCAAAGTAACCATTCATCCGACGAAGCCAATGACATTCGATGCGCATCGACGGCTATTCCTGAATCCTCCCAGGGCGGCCGGTCTTGGTGATATATCGTCCGTCTCCTCCCAAATTCCACCCCCCTCCACAAAACCAGGCTTAAATCTGGCCTTCTTGCACCAGTTTCTCAGCCTCCTAAGCATCATGATTCCGAGATGGAAGAGTAAAGAAACTGGATTCTTGATTGGTCACGGCGTCTTTCTTATGCTTAGAACATATCTATCTCTCGTTGTAGCAAGACTTGACGGAGAGATTGTGCGAGATTTGGTCACCGGCAAAGGTAAAGCGTTTGTCTGGGGCCTCATAAAATGGTGTGGAATCGGAACATTCGCGTCTTACACCAATGCTATGATTAAGTTTCTCCAATCAAAGGTCTCGATTGCTTTCCGAACGCGACTCACAAGGTATATACATGACCTTTACCTCAATGATAACATAAACTATTACAAACTCTCCAATCTTGATGGTGGGGTTGGCGAATCCGCAGACCAATTCATCACGCAGGACCTCACGCGATTCTGCGCAGCCTCGGCGACGCTATATTCTTCGATTGGGAAACCACTAGTGGACCTGTTCGTTTTCAACTATCAACTCTATCGTTCGCTTGGACCATTAGCATTGACAGGGATTCTGAGCGGATATTTTGGTACAGCAACAATACTTCGTCGTCTCTCTCCGCCATTCGGAAAGTTGGCAGCTGTCGAAGGTAGAAAAGAGGGTGACTTTAGAGGCCTCCACTCCCGACTTTTGGCTAATGCTGAGGAGGTGGCGTTCTACGGCGGAGCTGAAATGGAACGTGTGTTCCTCACCAAAAGCTTTAAGGATCTTCAACGATGGATGGAGGGTATATACAGCCTGAAAATCCGATATAATATGCTTGAAGATATGATTCTTAAGTATTCTTGGTCCGCTTTTGGGTATCTTATCACGTCTCTCCCAATATTTCTACCTGCTTGGGGCGGTCTAGCTGGTGTTTCCGAAATGACTCTCTTGTCTCCTGAAACTTATGACAGGGAGAGAGATCGCATGAAAGATTTCATTACGAACAAGCGACTTATGCTTTCTCTAGCGGATGCTGGAGGTCGTATGATGTATAGCATTAAAGACCTTTCTGAGTTGGCAGGATATACTTCTCGTGTGTATACGTTAATATCAACCCTCCACCGCGTACAAGCTAATGCATATGCTTCGCGACGTGGTTCTCATCCTGAACTGTACTCTCTCTCAGATGTCCAAGGCACGATTCACAGCGGGTTCGACGGAGTGCGCCTAGAGCATGTACCTGTGGTAGCGCCGTCTCTCTTTCCTCAAGGAGGTGATGAACTTATCGAATCATTGTCATTTATAGTCCGCTCTGGCGAGCACCTTCTGATTTCCGGCCCGAATGGGGTGGGAAAATCTGCCATCGCTCGCATTGTCGCAGGGCTCTGGCCAGTTTACCGTGGACTAGTTAGTCGGCCTAGGAGATTTGGCGAAGATGGCATAATGTTCCTCCCGCAGCGCCCATACCTTAGCGGGGGCACGCTGCGTGACCAAGTCATTTACCCCCACAGCGAAATGGACATGCGAGAAGATGGGAAGAGTGAGGCGGATTTACTTCGTGTGTTGAACGACGTTCACCTCGGATACTTACCCGATCGGGAGGGTGGTTGGGACTGTCGTAAGGAATGGAAAGACGTCTTAAGTGGTGGTGAAAAGCAGCGCATGGGCATGGCAAGACTCCTGTACCACGAGCCTCGATATGCATTCATCGACGAAGCCACGTCTGCTGTCTCTTCTGATGTTGAAGGCTTGCTCTATGAACAAGCCAAGCAACGAGGGATCACTCTGATCACGATCTCCACACGTGCTTCGCTGAAGAAGTACCATACCTTTAATCTTACCCTTGGCATGGGACAGGATGGCACCGAATGGGAATTCGACCGTATCGGCACAGAAAAGGAGAAAATGGGTGTAGAGAAGGAAATACAAGAACTTCGGAAGCGGCTTGACCAGGTTGAGGGGTGGAAGGCTCGGAAAATAGAAATCGATGACGAGCTGCGTAGGGTGTGGGTTCGTGATGGCGAGGCTGAACGGGCTCTTCCTCCATACCAGAAAGGCAACGAAGCCGGGGACGAGGCTGAGAAGCAAAACGACCAGAGGAGTCGTGATACAGATGCAGACCCGAATGCGGATTCAGATGCATATGTGGATGCCCATGCAGATACGGATAGTCTGGGTGCACAAGCTGAGACCGCGGAGTAGAGCATCCGAGGCTCTCTGTTAGTTGATCGGATGTGATATGTGCTGTAAATATTATACTTCTTTTATTTCAAATACTCGCATCCTATGATCCTATGAATATCCCGTTTGGAGCTAGCTTCATCTTTTTACACAGTGTAGAATAAGAAAATGTCTTTTATCGCCGTATCGTAGCTTCAGCTCCGCGCGAAAAGTGTCAGTAATTCGTCCATATGAGATGTGGGCGAACCATATGCGCTTTTTGACGGCCACAAGTCATGCATACTAACGGCATCCCGCTTTTAGCTTCCATCGTTCCATATACCAGACAACCCTCCCTTCTCTACGTCTAGCCCGGCTAACCGACAAATCACACGAAAAATGAAAAAAAAGCAAGCAACTCATGAACATCCGTCGGCATATGTCTCACTATAAGAAGGCAAAACAGGATAAAAGGGAAACCAGCCACTACAAGGATTTGTCGGCAGATATCATATGTTTCTGCTATGGCTGCTTCATACAGTACGCCAATGAGCCCTTGCCAACGGTGGCACAATATATATATTACCTTGGTCTTCAACCCAGGGAAAATTTAAATTTGATTCAGACGCATATGAGTCTCGTTTTCAGATATGAAATTATCTTTCTCATGAATATACCTGTTCCAAAGTCGAAAGAAGACGAAAACGACGGAAAAACAAGAGAAAGCAAAGAAAGAATCGAGGTATATTTACCTCGTTACATACAGCTTGAGAGCAGTATAGGACAGAGCTGAATCTCCCCCCTAGACCCACGACAATGTTATCCAGCATCGAGTTCAATACTACGCTGGAGATGATGCTATGCATACTCATCGTTCTCGTCTCCCCGTTCCTCACCACCTGGCTTATCACTAACGTCAAGGCACGTAATGGGTCCTGGCAGAAGGGAGAGCCTCCGTTGATCCCTTATATCATTCCGTGGCTTGGTCATGCGTTGTCCTTCCGCAGCGGGACGACTCGTTTCTCGAGCTGGGTTAAGTGGGTTGAACATTTCTTCTCTCTTCCTTGCTCTGAAAATCAAATACTTCCGGAAAGATGATGAAACGAAAAGGAGGATGGGGTTTAATATAGGGGGAAAGGGTTGGGATTTGGTACACCACTGCTTGTCCATGTTCTGATCTCAAATTTTCTAGGGAAAAATACCATAACGTCCCAGTGTCACGAACGTTAATGGCAGGGAATAATCTCTATACAATTTTTGACCCTAAGCTTGCAAGGGAGGTAGATCGTCGCCCAAAGGTTTTCACCTTTGATCCCGTTGTCTTACTCGTGAATAAGGCATTTGGAGCCCCCCAAGCTGATCTAAATATCCTGGAGAGAGGTTACCTTGGATCAACTCGGAGAACAACCAGCAATAGCGACGGCCAAGGCATGATCGCTGAACTCCATCGACAACATTTCCCTTACCTCAATGGTCGAAATTTACCCGCCATGATATCTAAATTTAGTGCGATTTTGAGTGCAAATTTAGAAAACATGTTTCAAAGGAAAGGAAGATGTGACACCAGCGACGCATGGGTAACGCTGGATTTTAGAGAGTTTCTTATGCGGCAGTTCACGCTTGCTTCCATTCCGATGTTGATGGGGACTCGTATTTTAGAAATTTGGCCCCAAGCATTCGAAGATATTTGGGAATTTGATTCGTGGGCATTAGTGCTCACAATGAACTTACCCAGCATATTTATACCGGAGGCAGCTGCAAGCCGAGATGCGATGATCTCTGCTTTAGAGCAATGGGAGGAAGAGGCATCCAAGCACCGAAAATTCGAGGATGTGGAATCAGAAGATCCCGCGTGGGATGAATATTGGGGGGCCAGGTTGATGAGGCAGAGACACCGAACATTTCTAAACAATGGCATCAGTAAACGAGGGCGGGCTGTTTTTCACCTGGGACTTCTTTGGGCGTATGTCGCTTCCCCTCTTTCCTCATTGAGTGCAGAACTGATTAATGTGTAAATCAAGCACAAATGCCAACGCCATCCCGGCCGCCACGTGGATGTTGATACATTGCGTTCTCGATACGCAACTCCAGTGTCGAGTTCGTCACGCAATAATATCGTCTAAAAGGAAAGATGGCACGGTGGATATCGAAAGCCTCGCCGCGAACAAGCTCGTAAAATCGCTATTCCTTGAGATACTTCGTGTATATGTGTCCTCACCATCAGTGCGAGTGGTCATAGAAACGACCGAACTCGGCGGTTACGTGTTTCACAAGGGGGGGACGATATTCATCCCTGGCAGAGAAATACAAAAAGACCCAAATGTTTGGTCTCCAAACGGCTCGTTTCCAGATGCTTCTAAATTTTGGGCCGAAAGATTTATTGATGAAGAACAAGACGATAACGGAAGCATAGGAAAAGATATTAATGGGTGTATCAAATTGGAGGCTGAAGGTGAACAACACGTAGCCATAACAGATGCACAGACACTGTCTGCGGACGCGATGACGATACCCGGCAGCACAAGATCAAAGTCATTAAGAGACCGAATGTGTTCAATGCGTCCGTTTGGAGGGGGTACCTCCTTTTGTCCGGGAAGAAACGTCGCGATGTACGAAATCGTTGTTGCCGTGGTGGCCATATTGTCGGCATTCGACATTGAGGTTGACAAAGAAGCCCTAGCGTCGAATGGAATGCCACAACCGAACTTTGACTTGTCCGGAACTATGGGTCCTGATAGGCAGTTTATAGTGAGGATGAAGAGGCGAACGGCCGCGAAATAGATGTCATGGTGTTTGGCCAGTGGTTCGACATGGAGATGAAATTGATCATGGCTGTGAGTGGCTTGGAAGCAGATGGGGAATATGCATAATTAGTGAGTTATTTGCAATTAGCAGCCGGCTGGGTTCGATATATCTAAAGAGGCACGTAGCTAGTAGTTTCGGCTCTCAATGAAATACAACAAACCCATAAGCTGTCATAATAAGCATACATTTTTAGTGAGATCACTCTTCGCAAGGCACCTTCCCTCCCTGTTAATCGTGTCCATCGCGCACGAACAACTTCGTGTGAACCACTTCCAAACCGATCAGAAGCGCGTGGCATGGGTATGACCAGAAATAATATATATAACCCGAGTATATAGATGATCTGGACCCAGACTCCCAGCCATTCATCATTAGAGATCGTATTTTGGCGTAGTGGCCACATGTTTAAAAGATATCTGGCTTTCCAAATTCTCCAGGCAGCCACAGAGGGAGGATGCGAAGAAGTTCTAGAGACTCCCACCCTCACGCGGTATTAAGTTTCTCATAATCGAATTCAACATATGGTACCAAATCGAAATCTGATATTTGGGCAAGAAGCTTTGAATGATCACATTCAAAATAGAATTGATGTCATTCTTCAAGAGTGGACCTGAGCGCTAAGATCTCACTTGAAAGGTCTCAGAGCAGCTGTTAACTAGGCCTCAGGATGTCGTTGCCTTGGCGGAGTTTCGACCTCACTTTACCTCACTCCGTTCGCCAATTGTCGCCATAGCTCGAGCATATTAGCAATCATATAGATCATGATATCTTCAGATGATTTTCTCTTACTATGTGGGGTAGGAGGCCATTGATGGGTTTTAGTGAATGCCAGTAGCCCAAGAGACAACTCTTGGTCTTATGGAGAGCTTGTGGTATGAAAAATGCGAAAACTTCCTGGAGTGTTTTATATCACAAGATAGCTTATAACACATGACTTCCATAACCGGCTAGTGTCTGCCATGCGAGCTCTGCCCCGCCGCCAGCCAATCACAGCCGTGGTCTCGTCCACCGAGAGGTCAATTCAAATCTTTGTCGCAACTTTGACCGGGAATATCTATCATTTTGCTTCTGCTTGAAATATCCAAAAGACGCGCCCGCAACTGTCTTTTGGCGGCAACAGGACTAATATAAAATGACCAAACACTTAGATCCTCCTATTTTTTAGCTGACTATTTCGCCTTTTCGAATAAGCCATGCCGCCTCTCCTCCCGCTGCTTCTGGACGATGATGACAGCAATGTTGTGACAGTCTGCATAGACAAGTCGTTTACCGACGGCGACAGCTCTGTCTGGCCGACACATCCACGATACGAAAGAGAAGATCCGCAGCTTTATTTGCGGAAATTGGCCCAATATGTGGATGAAAGAAAGAGATGAGGTGAGACCAGGTTAGTGTGTCCTTGTGCATTCGAGATCCGCGTTTCCTTTGTCGTACTCGTTTGCTTTCATGTTCCGAATAACTGCTGCTTCATATTGTTGCATGCATGTACCGTGCAGTATAGTTGGATCATATTTCTCTTGTTTTCCTACAGGAAATTTGGAGAATTTGGTTAAGATGCATCCGTAGTTGTGGTTGGAACTCCTCAAAAAGATTTGGCAAGCTTCTACTCTGGTCCTCGGGTCTTCATCTGCCTTCTTGAGCATGAGCATGTTGATATATTGCATATATATGATTATTCGCTTCTTGTCGATTCTCCCTTGTTGACTCAAGTGTTACCATGTTAACAACCGTTGCCAATCCACTGGGAGTATAGGGAAACAATATATCCTTGACCAACTGCCCGAAGGATATGTGTTTATGTCCAGGGCCCGTCAGCACAATCCCGCGCTCGTCAGTATTAGTATCTCTGCTGGTGAAGATGTTTGCGTATTCATGAATCCAAGCTGATTGACTTCAAATAACAATAGCGGGATAAATATCTGTACGGCCACCCGTCGGGGTACTACTTTAATTCTCCAAATCGATTTTGGCCTCACTTCTGCCATTTAATGACTCGAGGTACCGTTCCATGCCGCTGTGATCTCTGCAGAACCGGTAAACAAGCAATTAAATCCGACGACCCTTCCATGGAGAGACTTCGACGCAAGCCTGGCCCCAAGCCTAAGCAGAAAGTTGGTGGAGGGAGCGCATCCACAAATGGTGTAGGAGGCAAACCCGGTAAGAGAGGCTGACCCGTTTGCCTTTGGATAATTTGTCCCGGTTTCCATTTGATGCGTAGCCTCTGACAGCCGCTGGTCGGTATAGGGCGTCCAAAGACGAAGAAATGTATGGCTGAGGATGAGGAGGGGACACCAGACGTGTTCAAGACTCTGGTTTTCAAGTTACAAGAAAGAGGCAGCATCGATCAACCAATTAAGGAGCCATTAAGCATGGACTGGAGAGCGCAACGCAACACACTACAAGAACACCTAACCAGAACGTTTATGCAACACTCGTTTATCCCCCGCCTTGGCGAACTTGTTCTATGGTGCTACTCCTTCCAGGGAACAGAACTTAGGTTCAACTGGTCAACTGAAAGCTTCGAAATGTATTGCCGCAAAAATAAAAAATTCCTTGGCATCCCCGAATGGCGAGCAGGCACTGTTGCGCAAACGGCTGAGGAACCTCCTATTCTTGAAGATATAATTACAGAAACCAAGAAGAAATTTGCCGTCAACACATCTGGTTTCCGGATAGAGACATTCCCCGACCCTAATAGCACTAATAAGAACCTCTCGCGCCAATACAAATACGTACCGCTGAACTGCATTCGGCCCCTGAACTACTGGCAGATATTTCTACAGGGAGTCGACCCTGACGACTATCACCCATCTATTAAAAACGCGCTCACAATCATGTCTTCTTGCTCGGTGGTCAACAAGTACCATTTCAAGGGGGTGTGGCCGGACGCAACGGTATATTGTAAAGGAATATTTATTGGTTCTGAACTCCTAATAAGAGGAGACGGCGTCCGACTCATGCCACGGCAAAAATCAATTTTGGCAGATCAACATCATCAGGTTACCGATGTGTTAGTCATAGAGAGCATCCAGGTCAAGCTCAGAAACTGTGACGCTGACCTTAACTCTCCCCTGCTATGTCAGTCAACAGCAGTTCGCCTCGTTGGCAAAGCTTACACCCTCTCACCGAAGAATGCCTATAAAGAGCCGAATTCGATCGGAACTCCGAGCCCTCTCACCTATGAGGAAGTCATCGACTCTTTTGAGTGCGTGGGAATGCGTGGCTATGGCAAATGGTACCGCATGCAACCAGAGAAGCATCAAATTCAAATATCTCTAGATCACGTTGTTGGCCGATGTTACGAATCAGAGCTCATGTCTCTCATGTTCGATGACCTCTCGCTCGGATTAGATATGGAAGGAGTCATAGCAGGCCGCGAATATGGCCGCTTGACGGATCAGCGATTAGCCCCTGACAAAGAGTGGTTCTTCGGAGATTCCAGGGTCGAGACGCTTGCCCTGGAAAGCTTGAATTTGGAGGAAGTTGGCATATACGATGACTCGAGGGATCCCAAGATGTTCCGTGCAAACCTGCGCATCATTGACGGGACCGCGAACGGGTCAGATATCAGAGATGCCAAAATTCCCCGCACGATGGGCAGGCCACTGGCGGGGCCCATTGGCAGCAGCACTAAGTCGTCTACTTTTAAAAACGTGGGCAAGATGAGTTCGCTGGTCACTAGCGCGCTTGGGCCATTGGAGCCTTCGGCAAACCAGACTCCCATAGATCTTACGTCTGTTGCTGCTTCGGACGTTAGTGAGAGGAGCGAGAGTGACGAGAGCGATGACCTACAGGTCATTCTCGCGCAGGCGCCTTTGGTCCGCGGTGGAACTGAAGAGAGTGAGGGCGGTGATTATAAGCCGTACGCTCCAAAGTCAAAACGAACTAAATACATGTAATTGATTAACTTCTGGGCGTCGTGAATTGGACAGGTTGCATTTCTTCTTCCACAGCATTAGAGGTAACCCTTTCCTTGGTTGCTTTTCTCTTATCTTCTTTTCCGTTTCCTTTATCATTCTGGCAGCAGCGATGGGTTTCCTTAGGGAACAGAAATGATACTTCAAACCACATAGCAGGCTGGGTGGGATACCAGCGGTTCATTTCGGAGGGAAATTATTCATCTTCCATTTTGATATCTTTTTGCATGCGCCCATCTCCGTGGCCCTGCCTCTCCTACACATTGAATCTTTTTCATCCCATTTTCTCTTTTCTCTCTTCACTATGTACTTCTACCGAGATACCTCTGTATTTTTACCCTTCTTTAGAGCTTTAAGACTCAGTTGAGCATACAATCCCGTTTCTAGTTATCTGGCATTCTCGTTCACTTTTATACCACATCCACGAAATGCAAGACATTTTGCATAAAAAGTAATCAATATCAAGGCAACAAAATATCC